GTTGATAACAGGCCTCCCTTTCTCTCTCTGGACACCAGACGCTTGCTTGCCCATTGGCCGCTCTTCTGTGCTGGCACCAAGCTGCTGCCATCTCTATCTGCGGCCGTAGAGAGATGGAGACCCAGAAAGGGGAGGCCAGAAGCCCAATGCAGAACGGAGATTCCAACCTGAGTCTCCACCTTTCACCTTCTGCTCTTCAGAAACTCCCCACCCCCACCACCACTCCTTTTGGTATTTAACCCAACGGAGCTGGGGACCTGGAGCAGGGCGCCCGGCAGCCTTTGTGGGAGATAGAAAGAGCCTGCCCTCCTTGGGGAGATGCGGCCGGCCATGCAGGTGCGCAGCTCAGCCAGGGGAGAACTTCAGCATTCGCCACCCGCTTGGCTTAGAGCCCCGTACAAGCCGCAACCTGACCAACCGAATTTTTGGTGTCTCTGATCAAAGGCATTTGCTGGCCCTTAGATCCACCTTCCAGGTCTCCTTGGGATTCCAAGGTGTCTCCTTGGGGTTCCGGGAGTTCATGCACCTCAAATGAACTCCGTCAAAGGTCAGCACCCAGGGCTCCGACTGACCTCCCCAGCAGCCTGTGGGGCACACTGACCCTCTGTTCTTCCTCTCCCCAAGCTTTGATGTTTGATGCTTCCCTGGTTAGCTCATCCCGGCCCAGGTGGTTCCAATCGGAGACTTTAGAAGGGGTGTTTGATCCCTTGGAAGACACCCCCTCCTTTCTCTGGATGCTCTGACGCTCTGCTGTTTCCCCCCCAGGTGTCCCTCGGTGGTACCAAGGAGGCATGCCCCACGGGCATGTACACACACAGTGGTGAGTGCTGCAAAGCCTGCAACCTGGGCGAGGGCGTGGCCCAGCCCTGCGGAGTCAACCAGACCGTGTGCGAGCCCTGCCTGGACAGTGAGTATGGGGTGGGGGCAGGGAGGGACGCAGCATGCCCAGGGTCCCCTGCCCATGACTGCATGGGCACCAGGAGTGGGGCTGGCCCAGAGTGGGGAGGCAAAGAGGGGTTGCTGAGAACGGATGAGGAAGTATGCAGAGGGAGGAGGGGGCTCTAGTGGGGATGTCCAAAGAATGCCCCTTCCCAGCCCCAGAGGCCTGGCAGAGTGTGGCCAGGCAGGAAGGAGTAGCTGAGACCAGCTAAAAATACCATTTGCACTGCAAAATCAATGGCGGTCACTTATCCTCTGTGTGTTTGGGGGTTGGGGAGGAGAATCACCTTGGAGACTGACCTTGCGGGGGGGGGGGTCAAGGCGTGTGAGCACCTGACCTGGCTACTCGG